GCCTTGGGCCCCCAAAAGCCAAGGGCCCCCTAAAATGCTTTTTATATGCGAGATGCGCGTTCAGTGCGGATGCACAAGTGGTTGCTGTGGTGTTCATTACCACGACAACCGTCTGTGCGTCCGCGTTGAACGTGCTTCTTAGCAAAAGTAGGGCGATGTAGAAAATGGGGACGGAATCCCGGAATCTATTCATGAAAACGGAATTTACTGTGTAACACGGAATGTGACGGAATGAACGGCGCAGACGCGCGTTTTGTTTGCTAGTTTGCTATTTAAGCACGCGCAATGCTCGCGGTTGTCGTCTGTAGTAGCTAAATAGTATTTTTTGCCATTTAATATTCACATACACTAGTCCATATCGCGGTTTGATTGAAGTGTACTGAATTTCTAAAAAATAAATAAATAAAATTTAAATTTCATAGGGCCCTATTATTGTATACAAATAAATAAATTAAGTTGTTTTTATGAATTAAATTAATTAGATATGTTTTTGATTAAACTAAATGTATATTTTAAAGTTTAGCCTTGCGTTGTGTAGACAATTGCATAGTGAAAATTACCACAACGCACCACCTAGTGTCCAACCTACTCTAATACTAATAGTATTATAACCTGTTTAAATGTGAACAAGGGATTTACAACATTAAAGAAATCCTTTATTTATAACATGTACATGAAAAATCTAAAAGATTAGACACAACTATGGGACACGATCGTGCAGCAGCGAGGAACAGTGAAAGGAACCTCAAGGTTGTAAATGTGTGAAATTGTATAGGGCCCCATTCCTGTATTTTGCCTGGGGCCCCCAAATCACTAAATCCACCCCTGGTGCATGGAAGAGAACAACTGACCTGACATGCCATGACTTCCAGCCCAAACACCACAAATGTCTCACACTGCCACAGTACAACACAGCTCAACACACATCAAATCACTTGCTTCATGCTACAACAATCTCACACCAGGAATGACTCACGCACTGAGCTTCAAAAACAAACAGAAACGGACACATTTACAAATCTGAATATAATTACAGAGAGTTTATTTAGGGCCTCATCCAGTGACGGCAAATACAGTAAAATGTCGAGCTTGGCTCCATTGAGGCCTTTGTTTTTGTTGGATTTGCTGGCATGTCTTTGGAAAGAGTGTGTGATTGTATCAACTTAGTCTCAGATGTTTAAGATAAAATAAAAAATAATCTCAAATAAAAAGAGACCCGTGAGACAGTTGGCGTACAGTAAGAAGAGCTATAGATAGCAAAATGCTAGCCAAATGATAGCAAAACAGCTGAAATAGCACCTTTGTAGCAATTTGGTTCCACATGTTCCTACAATTTCTTCGGACAAATACAAAGAGACCCATGAGACAATTGTTGACATACAGTAAGAGTTTAGAGCCAATTAACAAAGTTCGCCAAACAGTGGATGTAGCACTTTTGTATCAACTTAGCCAAATGTTAGCAAAAAGTTAGCAAAGCAACTGATGTGACAACTTAGTTTCAGATATCTCTTCTGAAATTCTCTGGGACAAATAAAAAGAGACACAAACAAAACACTTTTCGAGATAAGAGTTTAAAGCTATAGTTAGCAAAATGTTAGTATAAACTTAGTCTCAGATGTTTCTCCTAAAAGTCCTTTGATCAAATAAAGAGTCCCAACTGAGACAACTGTTGACATACAGTAAAAGTTTAGATTTTCGACTTCTGGTTTAAATCTTTGGCATCTTGGCAAATCCAAGAGCAGTTTGAAACATTATTGAGATTTCTTGTGAAACTCTGGATGTGACGTGAGATTACTGGGGTCTTTTTAGCTTGGGTGCATGAGACCCAAGTTAGGATCCATTAGCTCTCCCATTTAATCTCACTGCTGTCTAAGAAAAAGCATTTGAGATGTTAAAGAGATTCTCTTGTCATTTGTCTTTCCAGTGGATTGGAGATGGTCCTCACTGCAGAACACAAGATCCAGGGGGTGTGGTTGGATCCAGATCCAACTCCTCCCACCTTACATATACCTAAACCTACCCGTCTCCACCCCCTTACCCCTAAACCCACCCATCTCCACCCCTAAACCAACCATCTCCACCCCCTAGATGTGGATCCAACCCCGCCCCCTGGATCTTTGTTCTGCAGTGAGGGGCTACTGGTGGATTGAGTTTAATTTTGGAGACCCTTCCTAAATATCTCCCTCCCTTTAAGAGCGCAGTGTGTAGCAAAGACATATTCCAACCTCTTAAATTAAAAATGAAAGTCTCTTTCGTAAACGTTGCCGAGAAAAGGCATGATTCTTTTGCAATGCGAGTTTCCTGCTGAGTGTTGACCCAGATTCTGAGGCAGTATCACATCCAGCTTGATCATTTTCAAGCACCTCTCACTGAGTCAGTGTATGGCAGCTCTGTCGTATGGCATACATTTGAAAATACTGGTATCTTTACAAGATCTGCTTGCATTTTCAACAGATTCTCAGTCCGTTGTGGCACCTAATAGTGTGTTTATATGTGCTTGAGTTAGAGTGGATGGCTGTGTTTTGTGTACATGGCTGAGTTAAAGTTTGGGACATACCTTTCGGCCGAGCTGTCCGGCTCTATAAAGCGAATAAGAGGGGGTGCAGAGAGGGTCTCCGTCGCAAATATTCCACCTTGCAGCTGAACCCCAAACCCGTTTAGAGGATCTCCTCTCAGAGTGACCTCACTGGACTCGGTGTGGATTATCTGACCACCAGGGCCCACAGAACTTGAGGCTAAAGACACAGCTAAACAGAGAGAAATATCACCACAGAAATAGCATAAATGTACAATTGGTTTTAATCCATTAAGGGGCTGTTCACACACAATGTGGTTTTATGTTTAAAAATGTGAGACACAGGCCAATGGAATGAAAAAAAAAAAACAGCAACAGCAAGGGCTAGAAATGCACTGCACGTTTTAAGGTTTTCTTTTAACGTGAACAGAACATTTTCAGAACGCACATCATGTGTGAGATGCTGCAAAAGACAGAAGACGTGAGGTCGATGGTCAAATAAATTCAGTGTAAATGTAAAATTTAAACTCTATTCCAAAACCAATAAAATCTATCCAAGATGGAGGAATGAAGTAAGATAAACGCAGAAGTATTCAGTAATGAAGTATACACAATTGTTGTTAGCTTAGCAACATGCTAACATCCCCACTGGCATTTTTTTAATGATATAAAAAACTGTTTAGTAAAATCAATTTGATGTGTTCAATGTGTTCACTGTGTTTTTGTAATAGTGCTAAGAGTACTGTGTTGTTAACTTAGCAACATGCTAACATCCAACTCTACTAAAAGTTTAACCAATAGATAAAACATATATTTGTTTGTACATTTGCCTAATAGTGCCTAGACTGTGGTGTTAGCATAGCAACATGCTAACTCTATAAATAAAAGTAGTTTAATTTATAGATAAAAATAATTTAATACCCAATACGTGTTTATGTATTGTAACGGTTCTTAGAGTGCTTAGTTGTTAGCTTAGCGACATGCTAACATCTAACTACAAAAATAACTGCAATAGATAAAAATAGTTCAGCCTACCCTGATAGCACACGTACATCACAGAGACGACTATTTGACGTCTGCATTACATCTGCAAGACGTATTTTTTTAGTGTTTGTTCATCTGCAGTACGTCTCTAGGACGTTTCCTATCAGATGTCAAATAGACGTTTAGAAGATGTCTTTAAGATGTTTATGATTTAGAATGAATGTAAAACTGACAACTTAGGGACGTCTATCAGATGTTTGTACACAGCAGATGCTTTCCAGATGAAAAGATCTTTAACAGACATCTTGCCGACGTACCTGTGCTATATGGGTAATTAAAAATAAATGATTTACGCAGTATTTGTATATGCTATGTATTGCATAAAAGTATCTCCAGGACTGTGCTATTAGCTTAGCAAACATGCTAACACCTATAATAAAATTGGTTTAGGACACGTACATCACAGAGACGACTATTTGACATCTAAATTACATCTGCAAGACGTATTTTTTTAGAGTGTTTGTTCATCTGCAGTACGTCTCTAGGACGTTTCCTATCAGATGTCAAATAGACGTTTAGAAGATGTCTTTAAGATGTTTATGATTTAGAATGAATGTAAAACTGACAACTTAGGGACGTCTATCAGATGTTTGTACACAGCAGATGCTTTCCAGATGAAAAGATCTTTAACAGACATCTTGCCGACGTACCTGTGCTATATGGGTAATTAAAAATAAATGATTTACGCAGTATTTGTATATGCTATGTATTGCATAAAAGTATCTCCAGTACTGTGCTATTAGCTTAGCAAACATGCTAACACCTATAATAAAATTGGTTTAGGTAAAAAAAAAAAAAAACCTACAATACCATACAATACAATACTAACTATGCAACTACGGCTGCCGGAAGAATTGTCTCTGGGACAGCGCAATGAATGCTGCTATTATAGACTTGTAATGATGATTGACAGGACTGAATGATTAGGCTCCTCCCAAACCTACATTTAGAACTACATTTAATGCACCATTATGCTATGTATTGCATAAAAGTATCTCCAGGACTGTGCTATTAGCTTAGCAAACATGCTAACACCTATAATAAAATTGGTTTAGGTAAAAAAAAAAAAAACCTACAATACCATACAATACAATACTAACTATGCAACTACGGCTGCCGGAAGAATTGTCTCTGGGACAGCGCAATGAATGCTGCTATTATAGACTTGTAATGATGATTGACAGGACTGAATGATTAGGCTCCTCCCAAACCTACATTTAGAACTACATTTAATGCACCATTAGACCATTGTTCTTTAGCTTATCAACAAGCTAACATCTAACTCTACTGGAATCAGTTATGTGTATAGTCGTTTCATGAGAAGCCATTTAAAAACAGCCTATGTAGAACTTCACAAATCAGTCACTTATGAAATGCATTAAGACACTGTTTATATAGCGCTGTAGTCGTTATATAGTCGTGTCAAACAGGAAATATCACAAGAAAACCGATCCAGTCACCTACATGAGCTCTTGTGCTCTTTTTTCCTTTGTCGTCTCTTTAGCATAGAGTTCCGTGGGCTCATGGGAGGAGCGGCCCGGGGCAGCGTGCTGGAACCCTGGCTGGTCATGCCTGATGTGGTAGTGGACCCAGGAGAGAAGTTAGTGCAGACTACCGCTAGAGAGAAGAGAGAGGAAAGGAGAGAGAAAATCAGGCAGTGTAGCCGCATTTTAAAAATTTAAAATCAAAGAGATGGCAATGGTCCAAGAGACTGAGCGGCTCACTGCAGGTTAATGATTCATATTCTATTGGTCCCTTGCTAGTCTTTGCAGATCTATGCACTAAGCATTTGTTATTTAAGGGGACGTTATATTCGATTTGGAGACAACCGCTGGGAGGTGGATGTCTGGGTTAAGAACAATATTCCATATTAACGTAATGCTATTTTACATGTAAATGAAGATGGATGACTTCAACTAGAGAGGTAGATTTTCTGAAGAAAATGGTAGTCGGTCAGTAAAAACAGCAATTGGTGCAGAATAGAATAAAATTGGGGTCATATTAGTGATATTTCATTGAAATGTCAGAGCAAAAAAAACATCAATACTATTGTCAATATGAAGCAAAGGTCACAAAGAATTCCCAGTCGCATGGACACCTTGACTTAATATCATCTGTAAAATTTTGTGCAAATTTGCATGACCCACTGGAAACACAAGTGAGATTTGCAAAATAAAAAATATTTTGCCCTCAAGAAAAAATGTGTAGACTCCTATTTAATGACTCGATATTGTCCAAGAAATTTTGTGTAACCAACTTGAACACAAGCAAAATCTGCATGGGGAACTTTTTTTTTTTTTTTTTTGCCTTGATGCGAACTTATAATCTATTTGAATGACCAGACATGACTGCAGAATTTTGCCAAACAATGTTAAGTGGGTTTGCAGTAGTTTAATTGCTTTATGGGAAACTAGTCAAATCATCTTCATAAAGGATGGCAATTGTGTAAAAATGATGTAATGCAGTTACATTTGCAGTAATCCTGAGAGCTGGATGGGTTACTGGAAGCAGAGGTCCATGTCGATGTCTTACAGTGACCAGGATGTTGAGAATGGCAGTAGTTCACACAGGGGTCCCAGCAGTGCGGGTGGTCACTTTTCTGAACTTTCACTAAACACACAAAATTAATTACTAAATTGAGGTATTAATTACATGATTCTCAAAATAAATAACAAAATATATATACATTTTTATTAAAAAAATACATGCGCACACATACTCTATGTGGTGTTCTCTCTATATTGCTCTCATAAACCTTCATTTAAACTCTAAAAATCCATCATTTGGAGTCTTGAGGGTCTGTTGAAGTCGCATTCGAGTGATAATATCCGTCTCTAATACCGGCCTGTGGAAAATGAATGTGCATGCAAAACAATGGGGAAGCTCATCAACAAACAGGCTAATGAAGTCCTGCTGCTAGAGGCAGGCCGTGTAATTGAGTGCCTCTGTGTGCGTGTATGTGCTTGTTCTCATTTGTCCTGCAGTTTCTCCAAGCACTCATAATGCAGTAGGTCCGACAGGAGCAGAAGACTGAATTTAAAAGAAAAATTAATTTAATAAATTAAACAAGCACACTTGAAACAAGTCATTTATTATAAGGCAGTGGTTCGCAACTGGTTTTGCTTCAGGAAGCAGATTCTGGACATCCAGGGATGACCCAATGCAAGGTCAAAATTGTTTATCCTACAAAAGTAATAGAAAAACAAGTATGAATTATATTAATATTACCATGAACTGCAAAATTATTAACAAGACAGATTTAATATAATGACTATAATTATTTAACGGCTCTGTGGAATACTTGATTCTGATTGGTCAGTCGCGACATTCTGAGGTTTGTTATCCCTCGATAATAACTGGTAAAAGCTGATAACTCAGGCTCACCCGGATAACTGAAGTCGGCGCTATACTCTTGCTAGGAAGAGTATTTCTTCATGGAAGCTTTGCGTTTGGTTAGTTAATTAAATATAATAAAATATTCAAACTCGATTCAATATTATGTGTACAATTATTTAATAATGTCACGCTGGTATCGTGGACTCGCTCTCTTGTCTCTTGTCTCTTGTAAGATTTTAAAACAGTTTTGTCTTAAATCAATATCTTTTATCGCCATAATTATTTATGTGGTGAAATGTTGTGTAATAAGTGGTATGACTGCAACGTATCCCTTAAATGTCGATCTAGTTTGAACTTGCCGCTTGCTAACAACTGCTTTCTTCACGGAAGCTTTGCGTTCAAATATTTCAAATCAAATCAATATTTCTTGTCTAATTATTTACTCATGTGGCAAGTAGCCATGTAATAAGCGGGATGATGTACATCCAGATGGTTGTTATCGCAGAATAACCCCCTTCAGGGTGATCAGGACCCCAACGTGAAGCTTACTTATGACTTTGTCTCACAAATGCGATTGTCTTCTCATAACTGTAATTTTATATAGATCTCATAAATTGTAAATTTATTTTTTGTAATTGAGACTTTTATTCATGGAATTGGGAATTGACTTCCTCGTAATTTGTGACAATTTTAACTGTGAACTGTGTAACTGTGACTATCTTGAAATTGACTTCATTTCTCATAATTGCATCTTTATTTCTCATAATTGAAGCTTATAATTTAACATAATTTAAAACTATATTTCTCGTAATTGCGACTACAGTATCTTGTAAGTGTGGCTTCATTTCTCATAATTGAGACTGTTTCTCTTAATTGCGACTATCTCATTATTGCAACATTATGTCTCATAATTGAGACATTTTTTTCTTGTAATTGTGACTATTTTGAGAAGGTGACTTCATTTCTTGTACTTGCTAGTATATTTCTCTAAATTGCGACTATTAAAACTGTGAATTATTTTCTAGTAATTGTGACTACGGTATCTTGTAACTGTGGCTTTATTCTCATAATTGCAACTGTTTCTCATAATTGAGACTATTTCTTAAAACTGTGACTATATCTCATAATTGCAACATTATTTCTCGTAAGTGTGACTCTGGGCCATATTTTAACGATCTAAGCGCATGGTCTAAAGCACACAGTGCAAGTGCATATAGGGCGTGTCCGAATTCCCTTTTGCTAGTTTAACGATGTGAAAAATGGTCGGCGCGCCTAGCACATGAACCAAAAGGATTGTACCTATTCTCTTAATGAGTAATGGGTGTGTTTTGGGCGTAACGTGCAATAAACCAATCAGACTCCTAGAGCCAGTTGCGCTTGTGCCATGGCGGATTCGCTATTTACATGGCAGAATTTGCAAGAGCAAAGACTGAGCGCTTCTCCAGAGAGGAAAGGTTCTGCTTGTGCGCGAGGTTAATGCGTGCGAGCAGACCATCTACGGGGCACAATAATAATCTTTTACATTGTAATTCTTTCATTTTTTATATTTGGCATGTTTGTGCATCCCTGTGTGTGTAATAAGCAAAGTGTACGCACGCGTGTTGTTCACCCGCCTATAGGCGCATATTACTAACACGCTTAAAAAAAAAAAAAAATTGCACTGGGTGTCTGACAGGGCCCTATAGCTCAAAATTGCAACATTATTTCTTGTAATTATGACTATATCTCATTATTGCAACATTATTTCTCATAATTGTGACTTTATTATAACTGTGTATACATTTCTTGTAATTGCAACTGAAGTATCTTGTAACTCTCATAATTGTGACTATCTCATAATTGCAACTATATCTCATAACTGCAACATGATTGCAGCTGAAACCATGACATTATTTCACATAATTGCAACTATCTGATTGCGACTGCTGTGACATTATTTCTTACAGTTGCATGTTATTTCTTATAATTGCGACTATATCATAATTGTGACATTTCTCATAATTGCAACCATCTTGTAACAACAATTCCATTTCTTGTAATTGCGATTTTATTTCTAACAATTGTGATTTTAGATCTCGTACATAATTCTCATTTCTCAAAACTGCATATGTATTTCTCGTAATGTGTGACTATTCTTATTTTAGATCTTTTTATTTATAATGCTATGAAGCAAAAACAGATTTCTATAAAATACATAAAACCCTGTACATAAAAATACATAAAAGTGAAAGTGTCTATAGATAACAAATAAGATATCTGAACTTAACACTGGACCTAACATGCTTAGCATATAAGACAAATGCGATTCTTTACCATGCTGGAAAATCCATCTCAAGCTGGTAAATGTGTTTATGGACATGGTAGCTAGTTTCTAACTGGTTCAAATTGGTCATTAGCTGGCTGACCAGCCACCATTTTCCAAAAAAGCAGTCTGACCACCTTAAACCTTTATGTTTAGCTGGCAGCTGGTTTATTGATGGACCAAGTGGTTTAGCAGTTTAGACTATTAACAAACCAGCTGCCAACTTGAGATGGATTTTCCAGCAGGGTATTAAGAGTGTGAAACGCCCTAACTAAGTAATATGACATTCAACAACTTAGCTTTAACTTAGCTTTACCCTCCTCCATCTCTGGAAAACCATAAGAAGCTTAAAAACACTTGGTGAGATGTGTGTATTTATGTGTGTGGTTAACACTTTAAGTTTTTAATGAAGTCTACTCACTACTTTTTAAATTTTTGGTACATTACTAAACAAACCTTTAAACTCCTGCACATATTAGCATTCTATTAGCATTATGTTTATATATTTTGTTTTGCCACACAGACTGTGTTGAGACATTAAGAAATGCCACTTTCAGACAGATTTTCACAAGCCAGGTTAAATATTACTATCTGTTAGTCTGAGCACCAATGAGGCATCTTCTAACGTTTGAGCGCTAAATCCCTCTTCCTTGTGGCTTATGCTAAGCTCGTCTGCTATGTCTCAAAGAAACACAACTCTGTCTCTTGATGTAGGAATTGAGAACACCAGGAATGATGACGGCAAAGTCTCCCACACAGTCTGATGTGACGGGAGCTTAATTCAAGTAAGGAGATTACAATACTGTTTTTTTAAGACCACGTCATTTATCTAAAATACAAACTGAACCAGCAGGTGACTGATGCTAAGGTTATTAGCAGTGGTTTGGGCTAATTTGTTATTAAATTGTGTGTAGTTTAAGTCTGTATTGCAAAATACAGACATACTGTACAGTACAATTAAAAGATTTAAAAAAAAATCTGGACTACCATCTCAATGTTTGCTGCGTTGCATCCAAAGTGGTATGTGCAACATGAGTCAATGACATAAAGCTATTAATGTACTCAGAAATACATTAAAAATGCAATTCCTACATATAATGACTTGAAAGTAAAATTCATTTGATATATTTTAAGGCATAAAATTGAAAATACATGCATAAAAAAAGTTAACAATAAAAATGAAATAAAAAAAAACTGGGCATATCCTTATATTATTATCATTTAAAAATATGTATATACATGTTCTACTGTTTGAACTATAGAAATTATAATGAAATATTAAAAATATTTTTGAGATAAAAAATTTATGTAATAAAAGTTTGCCAAAATATTGTAAAAATTTGAACAGGAAACAATATTAACAGGAAATTATATCATAGAGAGGTCTGTGACATTTCTCATAAAGTCACAATTATGCAAAATAAAGTCTTATCAAGAGAAATAATGTTGCAATTATTATAACAACTGTAAATCAATTTATTGTAATTACAAATACAGTATATTGTAACTGTGGCTTAATTTCTCATAATTGCAACTAGTTCTCGTAACTGCGACTATTTCATAATTGCAACATTATTTCTTGTTATTGCAATAACTATTTAACTGTGACTTCATTTCTCATAAATGAGACTTTATTTCTCGCAATTGCAACTATGTGTCATAATTGCGACATTATTTCTCATAACTGCAACTTTATTATAACTGTTTATTAATTTCCTGTTATTGTGACTAAAGTATCTTGTAACTGTGGTTTCATTTCTCATAATTGCAACTTCATTACTCATAACTGAGACTTTATTTCTCATAATTGTGACATTATTTCCCATAATTTCTATAATATAAAATTGTGTCACAGAGAGGTCAATAAATCATTTAAAATATTATAAATGGACTTCTGTATGAAAAGGCAAAGTCAGTTCGGCTAGTTACATGTCATGTGGTCCAAAAATTAATACTTTTTGTAAGAAAAAAAAAAAAAACTTCCTTGAAAAATACATTAAAAAGAAAACTGTGCACAAAACAATGTGAATACAGATATTACATTTCTAAGAAATTGCACATGTTTTAAACAAATTTTTTTCAGGTCATAATGCACACAATAAATGGCAAATGTAAATCTGCCAGCTTCAAACCTGTGTAATGTAATATCAGTGTTGCTTTGGATAAAAGTGTCTACCAAATATGTAAATGTGTTAAAATGTACAAATTCTATTTTTCCTCACTTTAAATCCCAGGATCTCAAAGATGGCAATCCCAAATGAGGTTGTTACCAGACATACTTTCTTTTTCTTCCCCTAACAAGGTCAGCTACAATATTTGCATATATAAAATCTGAATCGAAAATATAGAGTCATATGGCAAAATATCAAACTCCATTTATTTCCTGGGTGAAGTTTCTATGTATTACTGACACGGGCCCTGCGAGTAGGCGTCAATTCTTGATTGAAATCCTGCTGTGGCTGAAAGTTCACATTCGCAAATATGTTTTTCCATCATTACAGCCTTCCACCTCCTCTCTCGGGTTCTCAGCACGGCAGGGAATGACCTATATAGTGCCATGTGATATTTTAACAGGACAGATCAGATGCTGAAAAACTAAACCACTTTACTTGTCCGTATCCATTAGGGACGTTTGTTCCTGTGCCCAAAAATCTAGGCGTCAAGGCTGTCCTGGCATCATAAACTCTGTTTTACGATGTATGCGAGCAATGCATGGAATTCAAGAGGTCATCTTGTTGGGTTTAAAGCTTTGGTGGATGTAATTAACTGCCAGAGGCACAATCATGGAGGCAGAAGTGGGGCAAGAATTGTGACTGATGGGCATCTACGGTTCTGGATGATTGAAACAGAAATAACAAGAACTTCAAAGTCAAAGTAAAAATGACCATCTGAAGTTTTAATTGGAGTTGCACAGTCATTGGTTGCATCCATGAAGTCATGCAACTATAGAAAATATTCATATGCTCAGTGATAATATGCTATTGATTAGATTCTGTGTTCCATTCAAAGAGGGATGTGCAATATCAAAGTTTGTTTCTTCATCAGAACATATTTAGAAAAATGTAGCATTAGATCACTTGCTCAGCAATGGATGCTCTGCAGTGAATGGGTGCCGTCAGAATGAGAGTCCAAACAGCTGATAAAAACATCATAATAATCCACAAGTAACCCACACCACTCCAGTCCATCAGTTAATGACTTGTGAAGTGATAAGTTGTGTGTTTGTAAGAAACAAATCTACCGTTAAGATATTTTACGTAACGTCAAACTGTTGCTTCTGGCTAAAATATGAGTCCGTAATATATAATATGCTTTCTCCAGAGACAAAGTCGTTTCGTCTGAATCAGGAGAAACATATGCGCAGATTAAGCACTGTATACAAGCAAAAACAGTACTATTTCAGTGGATTTTAATGTGAGAGGCCAGTGGGTAATGGCCTTTTTTAATGCAGGAAGTGTTATTATGGATTATGGACTCATATGTGCTGCAAAAGTGATGGTTTAAAGTTAAGAAAGTCTTAATAATAAATGTGTTTCTTACAAACACACAGCTTTTCACTTTACAAGACATTAATTGAGGGACTGGAGTGGGGTGGATTACTGTGGTTTTTATAAGCTGTTTGGACTCTCATTCTGACGGCACCCATTCGAGTGATGTAATGCTACATTTCTCCAAACCTGTTATGAAGAAACAAACTCATCTACATCTTGAATGACCCGAGAGTGAGTCAAATTTACAATATCATATAGTATATCATATTGTAAAATGTTGCAAAATGTCATGTGGTACAACTCATCAATTGCATATTTATTATTTAATAAATCATAGTATTTGTCAAATAAAAATTAATTACACTCTTGTAAAAACTTTCAAGTCAAAGCATCTGAAGTTTCAACATTTTCTATAATTGAAGTCGTCCAATCACTGAGTGCATCCATAAAGCTGCGCAATTAGAAAATGTTTATGCGCTCAGTGATAATAAGCCATTGATTAGATTATCTGACAAGGGCGCAGCAAACAGTCTGAGACGACATGCAGGCGTCTAATTCAGGCTTTTAGTGCAATGTGGTCTGCACGGTCGGACATCTGTTCATTCCTGCATTTGCATATAAACGGGGATGAAAATATCCAGTCTGGTTCTTCGTCCACCGCGTCTTGGTTTGATATAGAGCCTCTGTCTGTTGGTTTTCTAGGGTGAGCAGGTCTCTGTGATTAAATCTAAAGCTCGTGGGGCGACATCAAGCAGAACAAGAAGCTAATTAAATTAGACGACAGCAGAAGAGATGGCAGAGCAATCTCCATCCATGTTTTCTCGTCCTCATTTGTGCATCCGAAGAGGATACATGTGAGGTTTATATCACTATAATTAGAGAGATTATTATGACCTCCTTTGGAACAAACAGGGAAACAAAAGGTTGCCATAGACTTCGCAAAAAGTACTGTGGTTCAGTATGATGGTTTTGAATGATTGCCATGATCATATACCATTGCATTTACGTATATGGTACTCCACGACCATAATAAAATCGATTTGCTTAATGACAAATAAGACTATCCAAGTTTGTCCAAGATAAAATGAAAAAGAAAGGTTAAAAAAATTTAGTTTAAAATGCATGCACCGAGTTCTTAGAAATTTAATTTTTGTATTCATGTTTTCTTATGATTTAGTACAAACTCTTTTCAAGAAAATGTAAACAGTTTAAATGACTTAATGTCACATGGTGTAACCCTCAATTCACCTTGAATACATGCTATCTTAATTATTATTTCCCCAGGGAAAACAAACAAACAAACAAACATTTAAATGTATTCTTAATTGTAATTTTTGTATTAATGGTTTCTTATGATTTTGTAAAATAGGAAAACGTATGATTTTAATGAGAAAACATGAAATAACAAGAAATAATAATAATAAAAGATTAATAATTAAATAATGAAATTAATAATAAAATAATAACAAAAGGACAGTTATATCACTCTGACCCCCATGACAAAAAAATAAAATAAAACATTTTATTTCAAAATTTAAAAACATGTTCATCATAGAAGACATGCTAAAATCTAGCGTAGCGTTAGTTCTGGCAGGTCACGTTAGTCATAGTGCTGGCCAGCAGCTGCGTGGCCTCCAGGACGGAGCAGTGCTCTGTGCTCGTGCCGTCTATAGACAGGATATGATCACCCACGTGTAACGCTCCGGACCTGAGACGCAAACAGAGAACTGCTAGAACTGTCGTAAATGCGGGACGTGTTAAAAACAACATCAAAACTCACCCAAATGACCATAATAATGAATCTGAGTGCTCTATTTCCCTCAGAAATGTGTGAAATATATGGGGAAAAAAAGGAAGTAGAGGATGGTGAATGATGTTTCATGTTGTCTTTAAACTGTAATAAAAACAATAATACATAAAATACATATTCACAAGAAAACATGCATCTTAATAACTATAACAGATTAAAATTACCTTGATTAAAATTACATATTTCTGAGGGATTAATTTAATTAATTAATTTAACTTACAATTTAAATGTAAGGTAAATGTGACTGCACAGTTAATGACTATGGATATTATAAGAAGAATTTCTTTCGAAATTGTTCATAAAATAATTTCATAAGAATCATAAGACAGAATCATATAATTTGTAAAATAATGTTTTTTTTTTCTTTAAAAAATTAACATCCTTCACAAAAATCGTTTTGGGAACAATTAAGAAAAAAAAGAAAGAATGTAATTTATATAAAAAACATTACTGTAAAAGTAAAAAAATAGTTTTATGACATGGTTTTTCAAAAAATGTATGTAATAGGAAGATATTCTGAAGAACCTTCTGAACTGTCTTCTGAACAATTAAGGTAAAAAAAAAATAAATAAAAAAAATGCTTTTACAAACAATTTACTGTACATGAAAACAAATGCATTTATTAAAAAATAGTTAATCTATGATCAATTTAGATAAAAATCAAATCAATTGTGCAACAATGGTTTTACAAAGATAAAATCCTTTATGTAAGATTTGTTTTCACGGACAACTTTTGTAGGAAAACTTAAAAACATTGAAGTAAAAATGACTGTTAACTACATAAGAAAATAAGAAAATCATTTGCAGAAGAATTTTGTAACAAACACATTTTTAATACATTAAAAAATACAATTACGTAAAAAATAGTTAAAGAAAAATTCACATAAAAAATACAGAAATAAAATCTACTGTAAGAATGTTTTTATGAAAAATTTGTGTTGGATGATTTAAAGCTTATTTGTGAACAATTTTGTTAGGGTTTAGTAATGGTTTTACAAACAATTTATCTGAAAAGAAATGTAAAAAAATATGTTATTATGTAGAAATAGTTTGAATAAATTACTTAAAAATAAAAATAATTTCCGTGAAAATGGTTTTACAAACATTTTTTTATGAGAAGAAAGAAAATCATTTACAGAAGCATGGTTTTACTAAAATGTACCTAAAAGTTTAGGTAAGTAGTAAAACGATTTACATGAGGTCTGATTTACAAACAACTTAAGAAACAAAATTATGTCAAAAATATTTTTACACACTATTCACAGTTCATATAATTTACCCAATTTACGTAACTGGCATCAGTGACAAAACTTTGTTTTTTGCAGAAATCCCATATGATACTGCTTGATGATTTGTGTAGTTTTTCATGAAAACATACAATTTTGGTTGTTTTTCCAAGCAATTTGCATAAGAAAATTGCTTAAAAGTGCTTTTACAATTTACACAGTAGTCTGTTGTGCTGGTGTTTAACGAATGAGGCTCATTGAGTGTGTACCTGTCCACCACACTGGCGGGTTTGATCTTGTCGATGACGATGGCCTGTTTGTTCCTGTGCATGGCAGTGGTCAGAGTGATTCCCAGATTGGCTCCGGGCGCCTTGGCAATCTCCACCAGCAGAGGACCTGAAGCGTTTGTCACCGAGTCTGAGGGCAGGTGATAAGGACAGACAAGGACAGCACCGTTATGCTGTGATTTCTAAACGGATCGTTTCCTGCAGCTTACACTCAATACAGAGTTTTTTTTTTTTTGGAAGTTTTGAGCGCTGAAAGTTTATTTCAGATCTCCATGTTGTAGGATATGACCCATATAACTCTACAAAGAGAACAACAGTGGGTGTTATGCTAATTGTAGCATAAATCAGCTTAACAGTACTAGTTAAGGCGTGAGGGTTGTTTCTCCGCTCTTGAAGGTCAACAACCTGCTGTTCATCCAGATGAAACAGTGAAGATGGTTAAAAAGAGCAGAGACCACTGGAGAAAAGTGCTGTGCTTCAGGAAAATTTTGTATAAAAGGACAAGCACTCGAAAGTAGTTTGATTACCCCTCATTATGCATTCGGGTCCATTTTGACCCGGAAGAGATACATAAAAATTTCTAAAAAAAAATATATATATATGTGTTTAAGTGGTTTGCTTTAAGACCCTCAAAATACACTTTATTTATTTATTTATTTATTTAATAATTAGTTTATTAAATAAAAAAAATTATAATTCCTTTTCTTAGGTAATATCCGGGTATGTATGGAATACCAATTGGTGTCAAAAATACTTTTTGTAAAATTATCTATGAAGTTACATCAATGTCAAAAAACTTTTGTAAAACATATCTAGCCTTGTTGATAAACATGACTTTAAAAGGGTCCTATTATGCTTTTTTACTATTTGAATTTTAGTCAGTGTATAGTGTGTATGTTTGGCCATAAAAAAGATCTTCAAACTTACAAATCTCAAAGTCCACTCCAAAAAGAGATATTTCGTTTTTCGACTACAGCGTTTGTTTTCCAGGTTTTGTGATATCACAAAGCGGCCCATTAGAATATCATTAAAATAATTCCCGCCTACGGAAATTCGAATGATTGGGGGTTGGGGAGGGGCGAGGTAATGGTTAGAACGCTTGGTTGAGTGCATCAGACAAGACGACGACGAAGAAGAAGTGCTGCTGTAGCCTAAAGTTTTCGCAAGTTATTACACATGCACCTGAATAATTATGTATGTAAATATGTATGTTACAATTATGAAAAAGTTTTTATAATAAATTACTGACAGTACAATACTGGACAATGATGTAATATGCAGAATTTACACTTCAATTATGAGACTACAGTGTTTCCCATACATTGAGGGCGGGTGTTTTTATATCACTGTATTTCTGATGGAAACCGACTGTCTTCAGAAAAGTGGATGTCATTTTCATTTAATCTACATTCTATCTAAAACGTGATTTAGCAAAAAAAAAAACAAAACAACAATAACGTTACCACTCTAATATGTCTTGCAATATCCGTGCGTGCAAAGGTTCTGCACGATCCTCTTGTTCAATATTCTCTGGGTCTGAATCCGGCTCAAATTGATATGGCAATATTGACGCCATCCTTAACTAAACCGGAGCAGCAGGAACTTGCTGCTTTGGCAAGGGGCGGGGCAGTACTGAAACACCGTCTAAGCTGTTCGCCAATCACAACGCACTGGGACAGCTAACCAATCACATCACATTTCGTTTTTCAGAAGGCGGGCCTTCATCAAACCCGGAACTAATCGAGCCATTTGTGCCAGGATGGGGAGAAAGGTATTGTAATAATGTAAATTATGTAAAAAATAATGCGTTTTTTGAACCACCAAGCATGAGAGCATGTTCTAGTACACCCCCAAAACAAATTCAAGACATTGTAAAAGAGCATAATAGGACCCCTTTAAAGGCCTACTGATGAACTATTGCAGCATGAATAATTGATCACTTTTTTAATCTGACGATAAAGGTTTATGCAAGTCAAGTAAATTTATTTTGTCTGAAAACTTTTCAGAGTAATATTTATGTTTTGTTTTTAAAAATAAATATGTAGGTTGCACAAATTTGGACTGTTTTCAAGCAATCATGAGTTATAAATTCAAAGGAATTTAATTCCATTCATTCCAATGGGATTAATCATGGTAATTCTCAGAGTAAATGTTTTTATACATTACATACAAGTATATATTCAAATAAAATTTCTCATCAAAACTGAAAAATGTATTTTGCATATTTTGATTTTGTGTGTGTGTGGTTCATAAACTTTCTCATTTTTTAATTAAAAAAAAGCGTGTAAATGCAGTTATGGTAATAACATGCTAATAACATGGTAATGAGATGGTCAGTCAAAACTTTTTTTTTTCACTTTCACTCATTAATGTGAAGTTGTTGATCAGACACAATTTGGTTTTTAATTGAAAAAAAATAAAATAAAATTAAGTTAATGAAATTATGATTCTTCGAGTCCAAACTGGCCCAGAATGTGAAAATGGTTCACAGATTTTGAAGGCATTATGAGGGTTAATTCATCATTTCTTTTCAAAGTGCAACATATAAAACAGATGGCACGTTAATCCACTGGGACTTGTGGAATTTTCATTCTGTCAACACATAAAACAAGCGCAACTGAAGTAACTCACCCATGATGGAGACATCGTACTCGATCTGGAGCAGAGCCTCCTGTCCACACTGAGTCAGAACAGTAAGAGCATCACTGAGAGTGGCACTGTGTAAAACCACACCATCCACACTTAAGATCCGATCCCCTGCTTTTAGAGTCCCTTCTCTGCACAAGAACATATGCGGAACAGTCATATTATCAATGAAATGTGTAACACATAGACTCCTGTTTAAAAGTTTGGCATCAGCAAGATTTTTAATTTAATTAAATTAATACCTTTATTAAGAAATGATTCATTAAATCGATCAAAAGTGATAGTTATTATATTTTATATCAATTCTGATGTTTCTTAAATAATAGTTTCTGAAAAGTCAGCTTTTCCATCACAGGAATACATTAAATTTTAAAATATAATAAAGTAGAAAACCGTTATTGTCATATTTAAACTAGTTAAATTGTAATGTAGTGTCAGTAGTGTAATTTTTCAATAACTTATTTGAATAAAAATGACCTTTTATATAAATATCTATAAATCTACTACGAATTGGAAAACCACTTTTTATCATGGCATAATTTCAGATAGATTTTCAATAGAATTTATATTATTTCAGTAACACTTTACAATAAGATTTCATTTGTTACCATTAGTTAATTCTTAACTAACATTAACTAACAATGAGCAATTATTTTTTATAGCATTATCCTTTGTTAATGTAAGTTAATAACAATGGTAAAGCTAGTTCACATTGCATTAACTTATGTTAAAAGTACAACTTTTGAACTTAAAATGTTTTATCTTTTAACTAATATTAATAATAAATGCTTTATTTTTATAGAATTTTTCATTGATAGTTCATGTCAACTAATGCAAATGAAACTTTTAGAGTAAGTTTATAAATAATTTTGAATGAATATATTTAAGCTTTCAAAATATCCTTTTGCACTTAGTCCATGAATTGTTGGTATTTTTGAAGGCAACATAAGGTTGATGTCTTATTATGCTGCCTAGGTAGTCAGCTTCTTTAAAATATTATTGATATTCCACAATAATGATTAATGCTACATGTGAGAGGATCTGTTTGAGAGCACTCTATTTTCTTCATGAAACGTCTGGGGGCCTTCAGGAAAGACAACGCATACAATTTCCACCCGTCAATCAAGGCAGTCTTTGTCTCTAACATCAAAGGGGTCTTACTGAAGATGTTCTCTCTGTAGACACATATGTTTATTTATTTTTCTCTTTTGGCAGGTTGCGTGATGCTGATATAAGTAGGGAAAAGTGGTTGGTAAGAGGCATGGAAAAATCTTAAAACTAAGAATAATAACTAGCCGTCTAAGCTGAGAGGGAAATCTCTGGCCTACTTTCTGGATTTAGAAAAAATGCATATAGTGTGTTGAGACATGGAAGCGACCTGCAAACATGGAAGATTGCTCATACATTTTGTTCATTTAAAGTCAAGTTCACCTAAAAAGTTTAACACCAACAAAATGAATAGTTGTGTTTTCAGTAAGCATTAGGGCTGTCCTCGACTAAGGATTTTTCTGGTCGACTAGTAGTCGTTCATTTGAAGCATTAGTCGACTAATCGCACGCTTATTAATAAACCAATTAAATCATTATAATGAGCCTTTAATTGCCAACATAGCCTAATAAGCGCTCACGTACATGCATAAAGCTTGCCACAGCTCACCAGCAGTGGTAATGATTATGAATATGTCAGTGAAAAACAGTAAGGAGACTGCATTAACATTATAATAATTTGATAAACTAGTGCTTTCTTTGTTTTCAGCTTCAGAGATAAAGTCGCCACCTCGTCATCTCTGCAGTAGTGATGCGCCTGTATGCATGTTTCATACGGATTACATAATCTGACAATTTGTTTTCCATTTGAATTGTTTCATTTTAAAGTAGACATTTTTAGATATAGATATATTTTTAATGTCTGTAAGGCAAAGATATACACGGAGTTTCGCGCTCAAGTTCACAGACCGAGACGGCTGAAAGCGCATCCTGTTTGCTTTCACATAAGAGCGGTATTGTGCTCACACAAATACACACACAAATAAACGTAGAGTCTTTACTGATTCAAAAGATGTATTACATGTGTCTGTATGACCAAAAATTACGGAGTATTTTAAGATTAAGTGAGCACACCTGCGCCTCCATCTGTTTTTTTTTTTTTCTGCGACTAAGCGACTAATAAAATTTTGGTCGACCAAGCTTCTTCTGGTCGACTAACGATTAGTCGACTATTAGGGGGCAGCCCTAGTAAGCATGCTAAGCTAACATCAATTAGCCTGCTAAGCTAACATTCTGTCCTGCATTCCCTGCAGTTGGCATGCTAATCAATTAGCCTACTAAGCTAACAAATCCAGTTCAAGCTATCTGGCAAATATGTTTAAAAGCTGCTTTATTCTACTTTAGATGGGTAGCCCTCATGGTGGTGGCCATTTTGAGATCACATGACCTGCCGAATACTTCTCATTTTATCTTAATGACTCCTCTATTACTGGACACTTTTGATGATTAAATAAATCGTAGACAATGAGTCACTGAACAAAACAGCATCAGTGAAAAAAAAAAGTTTTTGCATAAACTTCAAATTCTTCAAACTTCAAACTCATTTTGCATTGTGCACTACCTGTCAGCAGGACCACCTGGTCGGACGTGTGTGACCACCAAAGGACGAGATCTGTGCCAGTCCTCATGGGATCCACCTGTATTATAACACACACACACACACACACACACACACATATATATACACATCTGCAACTATTGATTTTAGGAATATTACAAAAAAGATTAAAATAAATAAATAAAATAAAATGAGTGACAACAAACCCAAACTCACCTCGCATAACAAAGCCGAAACTGTTGCCCTCTTTCTGCAAACAGATCTCAATTGTCTTGGAAATAACACCTGAGGTACTATCTGGCACTAAGAGGGACAACAGAGACAGTAGAGAGGCAATAGCATCTCTAAATCAGCATATTTTACTGGGCGAAGGGCCATATCTGGCGGACAATCAGATAAATAAACCCAGATGCAAACTGACGTTCAGCAGAAGGTCAGCCAGAAACACTGAGCTTATAAACCAGGCAATTTATCTGTCATGCACAAGACAGACTGGCTAATGATCGCAATATATCACCACACATGCCAAACTGAGCCAATGAGAGACAATCACCTCAATCCATTATAATGAGAGTGCATGGCTGTGCAAATTTCAGTGTTGTTAAATTAACTAGAGGTTGATCAAATAAATATATATATATATTTAAATTGGTCAATGGCAATGCCATATCTAGAAATGGCTGGCAAATGGTCAACATATAATGCAGATGATACATTTTGCAAAATGTATTCACACACACAAAAAAAAAAAATTCTTATTATTCGTTTACAAGGTTGATGATAGATTTTGGATGATTTTGTACAAGCTTTAAAGATTATCAGCTGGTAAACTGATGACAATCTCCAACTGACCAAACATTTGCCAATGAATCAGCCTGGTGTGCTTTTCCCAAAAGCACTGTTAGCCAACTATGGTCACAATTTTGATCTTTATCAACATATATTTATGATTTGCGATTTCCTAATACCATAGTTCCAACAAACATTCTCAAACAACATTGCAAATCTGTGTAGTTGGAACAACAGCTTTTGACCTGTGGTTAGAAGCATATTTTCTTGTTAGTATTAGCTAACTATGGTCACAACTTCCATCATTACTAACATACTTAATGATTCTGTGTTTCGCAAACCCTAGTTCCAATTAACATTCACAAACATCATCGCAAAGCTGTGTGGTTGGAGCTACAGCTCTGTTAGTGTTAGCGAACTAAAATCGCAAATTCGGTCATTACCAACATAGTTCCCTTTCAGTCGGTCACTCTCGACGTCACGTCGGATGACCGACGAAATCTACTGACTCAGAGATGGGGCAACCACGGGACGTGGAGGTTCTAAGTCTAAGACCGACGGTCGAGCTGAAATTTCTTTCGATGAAGACTTTGCTCCTGCTGGCATTGGCCTCCATCAAGAGGGTAGGGGCGAGATCCCAATTTCGTCGGTCATCCGACGTGACGTCTCCGTTCCCTCCTTCAGGGAACGAGGGTTACCATACGTAACCGAGACGTTCTACGATTTGCTGTTTCTCGAAATCATAGTTCCAACGAACATTCGTAAACAGCATTGTAAAGTTGTGTGGTTGGAGCTACAGCTCTCGTCCTCGCATTGTTTCTTGTTAGTATTAGCTAACTATGATCACAAATTTTGTCGTTACCAACATAGTTCTACAATTGAAAACAAAAAATTTCCAAAATTCCAACAAACATTCATAAACAGCACTGTAAAATTATTTGGTTGGAACTACAGCTCTCGACCTGTGGTTAGAAGCAGAGTTTCTTGTTAGTATTAGCTAACTATGGTCGCAACTTCATAATTTCCAACATAGTTGTACGATTTGCTGTTTCCCGGAAACATAGTTCCAACAAACATTTGCCAACAGCATCGTAAAGTTGTGTGGTTGGAACTACAGTTCTTGTCCTGTTATTAGAAGCATAGTTTCTTGTCAGTATTAGCTAACTATAATTGCAAATTTGGTCGTTACCAACATAGTTCTACGATTTGATATTTCCTGAAATCATAGTTCCAACATTCACATCAGCATCAAAAACGTATGTGGTTGGACCTACAGCTCTTGTCCTGCGGTTAGAAGCATAGTTTCGTTTTAGTACTAGCCAACTACGGTCGCAAATGCCATCATTACCAACAGAGTTCAACAATTCACTGTTTCCCGAAATTACAGTTTCAACGAACATTCGCAAAGTTGTTTGGATGGATCTACAATTCTCGACCTATGGTTAGAAGCATAGTTTCTTGTTAGTATTAGCCAACCATGGTTGTAAAAAGCTGTGCGATTGGAACAACAGACTTGTCTTGACTTGTGGTTAGAAGCATAGTTTCTTGATAGTACGACATGTGGACAACGGATGTGCCACAAATATACTATGATTTTGGAAAACAGATGGCTAGCTAGTTGATTGCTCCAACTATGCATCATACAAGAGTAGTTAAGTAGCAAATAATGTTGATGTACAGTATGGCAAACAAACCCCTGGGTGGTGTATAGTCCATCACCAATATCATGGTATTGCATTTGTCAAAACCATTGCATGAGGTATTTAAGGATCATATGTGTGATTTATTTATTTACTTATTTATTGTGATAAGTAAGCCATGTGTAGGCTAATATCACCAAAAAGTGCACAATGTGGTACTTTAAGACGATGCTCTTTTTGTTTGAGCATCGCAATCTGAGCCAGCAACAATGTTTCAATCAATGGCGTGAATTCGGGGCATGACTATCTATTCGTCTGACCAATGGTAAATGGGAGTTAAGCGTGTTATTTCGGGGCCCCTTAACAACAGAAAAGCAAAAATAATATATTCAACCAATTGGCAAAGCTAATGTTGCTATGTCCACTACTCAAACCAAAATAATAATGTTTTAATAGCTGTTCGAAATAACTGATTGGCTTACTTGTCTCTGCATATTAAGTTGAAATAGGAAAAAATTATTTTAGCACCCAAAAATGACACTATAAACACGCAGCCATACATTCTGCATTACTGTGTATAATTATATGTGACCCTGGACCACAAAACCAGTCATAAGGGTCAATTTTTCCAAATTTAGATTTATACATCATCTGAAATCTGTATAAATAAGCTTTCCATTGATGTATGGTTTGTTAGGATAAGACAATATTTGGCCGAGATACAACTATTTGAAAATCTGGAATCTGAGGGTGCAAAAAAATCTAAATATTAAGAAAATCACCTTTAAAGTCGCCCAAATGAAGTTCTTAGCAATGCATATTACTAATAAAAAATTAAGTTTTAATATATTTACAGTAGGAAATGTACAAAATATCTTCATGGAACATGATCTTTACTTAACATCCTAATGATTTTTGGCATAAAAGAAAAATCAATAATTTTGACCCATACAATGCATTTTTGGCCATTGCTACAAATATACCCCAGCGACTTAAGACTGGTTTTGTGGTCCAGGGTCACATATATATATGTATACAAGCTGAAGTGGACTTACTGACACAAAAATACATTTTCACGATGATATTCACTCATGTGGTCTGAGATTGGCTCCGACCAGGGTACATTGATAGGAACATGCCACAAGACAGGCAAAAGTCAGAATACTCAACTTCCTACCAGGTGAAGGCAGTTCATACTCCACTTCCAGCACGACACGCTCGCCTATGTTCTTCAGCAGACTGATGATCTCGTCGTGACGCAGCTTGGTCAGGTTGATGCCATTGACTGACTTGATGTAGTCGCCCACATTGAGCTGATCGCCCCTGAGACACATCAAAATGTAACTCAATCACAGAATAATACTTAGGATAATGGGTTTGTTCAAATTCCTAACCCTAATTAGCAAGAGTGAGACTTGCTTTGGCAAAGGAAACATTTTTATATTGTAACTACTGAAAAGAGAGTAATTAAACAGTTTAGCTAAAATCCGGCACACCATTTTTTGTTAAACAATGTAAAAGTTGGCTTTTCCAACATTTGAGGAAATTAGCTTTGTTAGCATTCAACATTTAATGTAGAGAAATTAACAAGATAACATATGGCAGTCTAGAGAAGATTTCCGTCAACGGTAAAAAACATAGAAAACAATTATATTTTGAATGAAAAGTAAATGCAAAGTGAGAACTCCTTATCTGTTGTTGAACACTCAACAGGGAGTATAAATATGCTCATTTAGATGCTAATTAGACAAATGAATGCTATTCATTCCCTTTTGTCCTCTGGGCGTACATGAGCTAGCACAATGATGCCTGACAAAAGTATGTCATCAGCCCAGATGCGCTCCATAACATCCTCATACCAGCCACAAGGAAAGAAGAAACGACTGAAGATGGGAAACTTTCATATCACTGAAATTAGTTTAATCAAAATTAAGTATGAGGAAAAATTAATTTAACAATTTATCAAATTCCCTTCTATATTTCTAAGGCTCACAACTTAACAACGTAACACAAAATGTGCATGTTTAAATTCGCGAGCATAAGCATAAATTAAGTTCTTCTATGGTCAGTTTTGTTTTTCAGATCAGCAACTGTAATGACAGAAGAACAGTTTGAATCTTGCTAAGCAAGTTAGCTATAGCTAGTTAAATTGTTGATATGTTTAACTTTTAGCTACACGAATATACGTATATTGTTTAATAGCACAGATATTTGAAGGTAATTCTCTTGACCACTTTAGTATTGAGGCTTATTACTGCCACAGTAACATAAAAATGCTAATGCTAAACACTAATGTTAAGTATGTTACGTAACACAAGGATTACTCATTGCCACATTAGCAAGCATTAGCATAAACTGCTGCTATGGTCAGTTTCTCTTTCAGGTCAGCTACTGGTGGAACAACAGTTTGAATCTTGTTGACCAAGTTAGCTAAAATCAGTTAAAATCAGTGGCGGCTCATGGGTTTTAAAATAGAGGAGGCACACTAATTGTATTGGTCTGGGAGCGCTTGCTCGGCCTCCCCCTCCCCTTCTCTATCACCTAGCGGTTGTAATTACATCAGCAGATTCGGCACATTCGCGATAGAAAAGCGGCGCTTTCACGTTATGATATTACAACTGTGAAATTACAAACAAAAATACACATTCTGAGACATGAACTGAAATGAATTGTGAATTTTATTAACATTAAATCGTCCTCCTCCCATTTTCACATCAAAATTATGGGGAAGCTGTGCCTCCCCTGCCTCCCCCGACAAGCCGCCACTGGTTAAAATGTTGATATATTTAGCTTGTAGCTAGTTACCTGAATTATTCCTGAATTAAGTATATTAGCCTTACAGTTTGCACTAGATACTGGAAGCTAAAATTAAGCGCTTACTGACTCTATTAACATATGTGTCACTGCTTAGCACTTTTGAAAGTTGTGTGCATATTAGCTAACAGTAACAATAAGATGCAATTTTAAGATGTGGCACATCTTACTACACAAAATTGCACAGTTCTGAAATGTGCCAAAAAAACTAGGGTTGCCATTTTCAGCGAGGCAAAATAAGGGACACCCATTCACGACCAATAAAAAAACAAAACAAAACAAAAAAACACGGACACAAATAATCAGTGAGGAACTCATAGCTCAACAATAAACCATGAGAAAACATGCTCAAGTATGTAAACTTAATCATAAATATATTTATGATTAATATCAATGATACATTAAGAAATAGGGTCTAACATTAATTATAATATATTAATTTATCTGTCTACTCATGTCTACAAATATAATAATTATGTCTACCAAGCTCTGATAATGAATGGAATATATATATATTAACAGACTATCCAAATTTTAATAAAACAATAGGCCTATACCTTTAGAAGCACGGATGTGACTGTCACTTTAAAGGTATGGTTCACACAAAAACGAAATTAGTCAATTTACCCAGGTTGTTCTAAACCTGCATAAAGTTCTTTCTTCTGTTGAACATAAAGAAGATACTTTGAAGAATGTGTCTCAAATAAACAGCTGCTGGTTGTAACTTCCCAGGTAAAAAAATAAAAATAAAAAATACTATCAGATTAATTGGGGACCAGAAACTGTTTGGTTACCCACATTATTTAAAGTATCTTCTTTTATGTTCAACAGAAGAAAGAAATTATTACAGGTTTGGAACAACTTGTGGGTGTGTAACGAAGAAAAAAATTTAATATTTGGGTGAACTATACCTTTAAGTCAGACAGTCCACCGTGAGCAACTGAAATGCTTCTCTGCAAACTGCGTGTTCATCATTAGTTACTGGACAGACACATTGATAACTTTCCCATTCAGCCCTACATCTGGAGAGTCTTGTGTTCAAAGGGCAGATGTGAGCTCTAGATGTTTTAAACCGCGGCGCGCAGGTTTAGCGCATGCTGCGCTCGTGTGAAAGGGCTTTAACGGCGCGTTCTGAAGACTCCGTCGCTATGGAAACAAAGACGCCAAAATCACACGCAAATGAACTTCTCTAATCCTTCTTATGAAATTGATTTCATTATAATTGCTATTAGTATTATAAACAGTGCAAAATGCGTATTTGTTTATTCAAATATGTGTTGGCCTTTGTAAAATACGGGACAAATCGCGTCCCGTATTGATTTGTTACGGGACGCATCATTTTACCTTTAAATACGGGACGATTCCGTATTTTAAGAGATGGGTGGCAACCCTAGTCAAAATGCAAGTCCTAATGCATCACGGTATGTGTTGCAACATTAGCGAGCATTAGCATGAATTAGCTGCTTCAACAGTCAGTTTTCTTCTAGCTGTATAGTATCTAATGCAAACAATACTCAAAAATAGACGTTTGTAACAATACTTTAAGTTAAATAAACAATTTTAAGTTGTACTTCACACTTAAAATGCAACAAGTATGTGAACCACATTAGCAAGGATTAGCATACTTAAATTGTAGGTACAAACTTCCACCTAAGCTATTTTGTTTCGCTTGGTGTTTTTCTGAGATGTCAGGTGACCACTTTGTCATTCTGTGATTGGCTGATACAGTTAATGAGAGATTGCATTGCTGACTTCAGCTGTAGTCCTCACCTAGCCGCCAGTCCACCCGGCCGCAGGTTGGAGACGCGAGGTTTGCCTTCCTTGTCTGTTCCGCCTGAGATGGTGAGACCTAAAGTGCTTCCCTCCTTCTTAATCAGCTCAACCAGTGTAACCCCACGCAGTTCTTCAGGCCAGAAACACAACATACAAATACACACACAAAAGAGACAAAAGTCGGCAGCGTGTTATTATGACACTCAACCTTTATCACTCAGATGGTCTCAGATATTGCAGTGGATATGCAAATGAGCTGCATTTACTCCCATCTAACTAAAGATGAGAAATTTTTACGAATTCTCAATATTACGAATGCATGAGTTTGTTTTATAATGTTACACCACAACTAACTTACACTAATCTTCAATTCATGCCGCAACTATATGAATTCTTAAACAGAAAATCCAAACCAAGAGGCACATGAAAGAAAACATCTATCACACACCAGTAGTGCAGCAGAAATTGTAATGCATTTTCCTCTGGAATCCAGCTGTGTCATGAAATCTCTCACAGCGTCTAATCTAATCACGCCAATGCCTGTGTGGGTTTAAATGTGAACAGATTGGAACTGGAATGTTATTCCAAAAGTCAAAATATAATGGACCGATTGCACGCAATCAGATCCGTCTTTTCAAATTATGATAATGATTTCTGTAATATAAGTTCTGAAAAAGCCTTAATCTGCCTTAATCTATATATATTTTAGTAACATTTTCTATCAAAGACTAGCTTCGGCTAATTTAATAATGATTATATGCAGTTAGCATTTTCATTGAATTTAAGTTTGGGGTCAATAAGATGTATGTATGTATGTATGTATATGTATATGTATGCATGTATATGTATGCATGTATGTATGTATGTATGTATGTACAGTATATGTACTGTATATGTATGTATGTATATGTATGTATGTATGTATGTATGTATATGTATATGTATGCATGTATATGTATGCATGTATGTATGTATGTATGTATGTACAGTATATGTACTGTATATGTATGTATGTATATGTATGTATGTATGTATGTATGTATATGTATATGTATGTATGTATGTATTTATTTATTTTATTAAATACATTTATTTAGCAAGGATACATCAAATTGACAAAAAAGTGAAAGTAAAGCCATTAATAATAATGTTACAAAATATTTATATTTCAAATAAATGCTGTTATTTTAAACTTTGTATTTATAAAGTAATATATGTATGTATGTATATAATTTATATAAGTATAAATTAAACTAATTTAGTATATAAATTATACTCTATTACAATTTATCAAAATATATACACATATCCATATCTACACACACATATTAAAATACAGATATAAAGTTAAAAATATACATAGAAATGCAGAAATAAAATTTCCTCTAGCATTCGTTTTGTATGAAGACACATGTATGAAAAGTTACAGTAGGTTTCATTTAAAAAAGGGGGGAAAAGCAAAAAAAAAAAAGCAAAAAAAAAAAAAATAGTTTAATGAAATTAACATTCAAAAGTCAAATGTAAAATGACCTTTGAAAATGTTTGTTCTGCTTTAAGACGTCATTTTGAAACTTTTCCAAACTCACACATTGAGTTGACTCAGCTAATCCAATTAGTGTTAAAGAAGAAAGAGGTCTTGGATCAGCAAACGCTTCCAGCTAGCAGAATGACTCAGACAGACACTTTTCAAGAGCCACAAGAAACATCTGGATAAATCTGTAACAACACCCACAAACCCCCAGTGTTCTCCATCTCAAACAGCCATCCAAACCAGTGTGGCAAGAAGAACTCAAACATCCCCAATGCGGAAAGACAGACACGATCCCTGAGATCGAGAGACCCTGAAGGAGCGAGAGGCTGCCTCTCATTGGGAGGATTTGTGTGGGCACAAACAGAAGGCATTGAAAGGGAGTCAGGCATACCTGGGACGCTTTGTCTTCTGGATGTGAGCAAGTTGTCTGGCCCCGTCGAGTCTTTGTTCCCCTTAGAGTATGGCCCATCATCTGCAGGGTGAGAGACACGTTATCAATAAAATAGGGATGCACCGATACCACTTTTTCCAGTACTCACCCGATACCGATACTTTTATTTTTGGTACTTGCCGATACCGAGTACCGATACCATGAAAAAACATCAGTTTGCCATCAGCTGTCAGAAGATGAAAACGATATCTTTGTCGTAGTATCCTTTCAGCGTTTAAGGGGATTTCACATGATTGGAAATTCCCCCCTCCCCCTATAGTAATGTGCTATAGTAAATAGCACATTACTATACTGCTTTTATTTGTTTCTGAGGGTTTTCTTAGCATGATTAGCATATTACTGCATTTATCGTTGTCTGAGGGGTTTGTAGCATGATTAGCACATTTCTGCTTTTATGGTTTACTGCAGGATTTTTTAGCATGATTAGACCATTACTATACTGCTTTTATGGGTTTCTGAAGTGTTTTTAGCATGATTAGCACATTACTATACTGCTTTTATAATATGTTTCAGAGGGGTTTTAGTATGATTAGCACATTATTATATTGCTTTTATGGGTTGCTGATGGGTTTTCAGCATGATTGGCACATTACTGTTTTTATGCTAATGATCCATGTCAAAGAAGCCAGCCCTCAAATCTCAATTATATTCAGGTCTCTAGATTGTTTTATTCCCTCCTTTAATGTAAGTCTTTAGTGAGTGACGTGACATGTGGCCAAGTATGGTGACCCATACTCAGAATTAGTGCTCTGCATTTATCCCATCCAAAGTGCACACACACAGCAGTGAACACACACACACCGTGAACACACACCCGGAGCAGTGGGCAGCCATTTATGCTGCGGCGCCCGGGGAGCAGTTGGGGGTTCGGTGCCTTGCTCAA